GAACACCGTGATTGGGTAGGACGATTCCCACCAAGTCTTTCTATTCCGCTAGTCCGGCCCATCTCAGGACCAAGACGTAGCTTGGAAGACTTGCGGGGCCCATCCTCTTTGTCTCCTAGGCGTTTTAACGCCGAATCTCGAGTCTTGCTGGGTTTGGCTATAGCCTTACCCTTCCTCCTGCGGGCTGCCTCTTGCTCCGCCTCATCGACCTCGTGGACATTTGAAGGTGCTCCTTCATTCATGGTCCCCGTCAAATTCACCGGGCGTATAGGGACCATCCTAGGGACAAATGTCGACGGGGTCGACACCAGAGGCGGCATGATTGGTGGAGTCATACTAGGATAGGCAAATGACATGAAGCCCCCTGCCTGTTGGATCATGGCCATCACCTGATGATAGCCCTGTAGAGCCTGCGCATTTGCCGGGTCAGCAGTAAACTGAGCCCAAGCTGACGGATATGGTGTGAATGCTCCACCAGACGTTGTTATCGAGCCTGGGAACATTGTTGTTGTTGGCGTAGGAGTAGGGGTTGACATGATCGGGATCATGCCAATCGATCCTACAGTGGTGATTGGGGCAAAGGTCGTCCCCATGCTTGTCATCATCAGTGGGATGGCAGGAGTGCTTTCACTCACAGCATGGCTTGAAACAACGTTGTGGTCGCTTGAAGACATGATTGTGGATATTTAGTGGGGGCAAAGTTTTGACCTGGTCGAAAAAACTTTAAAAATCGGTCCCACGGTCGGCGCCAAAAATGATGGTGTAAATATAGCCGGGCGGGTTAACCGGGTTTAACCTGGACACTTGACCCGTAATATAAAACACACAACAAGATTACAAAGTATGACCTAGACCGGGTAAATCTCCTCAGTCCGAATTATATTTCTTACTCTGTCTCAAGAGTGTACTATTTTTAGTGAGAGAAAGAATGGATCCCCTCCTCTATCCAATATCATCATATTTATAGAGGAGGATTTGTGACCTTCCCCTGTTCATCCATGGACAAAATAGGAAGCCCGTGGGAAGGTCACTGTA